GGGGGGGGGGGGGGGGGGGGGGGGGGGGGGGGGGGGGGGGGGGGGGGGGGGGGGGGGGGGCTCTAGGAGAGCGAGTCCCGGGTATCCGCCTCTTGTGGAGATCTTGGGGGAGGCGAGAGAGGTCGTGGACAACAACGACGAGGATAGCAGCGACGCGGCAAGCAGCGAAGGAGCCGAGCGAGGCGTGCGCGTCGAGGTGCGGGTGCCCAGCGTTAACGGCACAGAAGCACCGCCTCCTCCGGGTGACAGGGCCCGCCGGACGGCGACCGCCGCGCGGCGAGAGTCGGCGTGGGCACAGGAGGAGGAGGAGGAGGATAGAGCGGTAGCGCGGCGGCTCGAACACCTTGACAGAGTGGCGGCGAGGTTGGAGGAGGCCGGGGCGGAGATCGAGGCCAACATCGACCTACTCGGCCTGGAGCACGGCCGCGCGCCCCGCCGCTCGGCAGCAGCGAGCTACGGTGGTGGCCACGGGGGACCTCCAGACATGATCTATCACGACACGCGGCGGCGATCTACGGGTCGAGAAGAAGAAAAAGAGAACGACAGCATCAGCCGCTTCGTCAGCGGCGGGCGGCGGCGGCGGGCACGAAAGAGGAGAGACGGCGGCGGCAAGAGAGTCGTTTCCCCGGTGGCGTTGCAGCGCCCCGCCCGCGGCCGGCCGAAGGCGCGCGGAGGAGGAGGAGGAGGAGGAGGATTAGGGATCGTCTCCCGCCGCCTTGCCGCGCCGACAGTGAGCAGCAGCAACAAGGCCGCGGCGTCGTCGAGCGGTGGAGGAGGAAGAGGAGCACCCAACCGCAGCCGCGGAAGCACCAGTTTATCGAGGTCCCCGGCTAGGAGACAAAAGAGGCCAGCCCGTAGCGGCGGGGGAAAGGCGGCGAGAGCCAACGACGACGATGATTTGTTGTCCGGGTTCTACTCCGACGGCCTAGGGGAGTCGGCGAACGGAGGCCCGCCGGGGGGGGGGTATGAGGAACAGGCGGCGACGGGGAAGGGAGGGGGCGGCCGCCGCCACGGCCTTGAGCGACGCGCTGATGACCTGCCTGCCGCGGCGGCGGAGGAGGAGGCGGCAGCTGGGCGGCGACCACGAGGTCCGCGCCGGGGGCTCTCGTCTAGGAGGGACGACGATTTCCGCGACAGTGGCGGTGACGGCTACGGTTACGTTGAAGACAGGGAGAGAGAGGAGATGGTGGCCGCTCGGTCCGGTGGGAGATGGGGGTCCGAAAGAACGGAAGAAATGCGAACCAGGTATGTCTGTTACTCGCACCAAGGGTATTTTATTTCGGCTGAGTACATGATGTACGAGGCTCGTGTGTTATTTTCGGATGTGACGGTGGTTGCTCAAGTATACCGGCTTCTTTTGGTAGCCCCGAAGAGTGGATGGGCACGGTCCCAATATTACTTGTCTCTCTGACGGCTCTTCGAGCCATCATCGGAGTTAGTTGGGGCCAAGCGTGTACGCCCCCGTTCGCCCGCCTCGGCATGTTTTGGCCGCTTGCTCCGCTTCGTCCACGTGTCCCGCTGCCCCCAATCTGGGCCGGGGAAAAAGCGGGCACATCCTTCCGTCCCGGCATCGTAGAGATGCGAAGTCAATGGCCGCACGAATACAACATGTGTCTACATGAGTAACCCCCCCCCCCCCCCCCCCCCCCCCCCCCCCCCCCCCCCCCCCCC